TGATAAATTTGTGGATATAATTAAAAAACTTGAACATAGTGCAAATTTTMAATCCTATTAATAAGAGCAAATAAGTTTGTCAACAAAATTTTGTTTTAAAAATATTCCAAAAATAAAAAAAACCTAAAACATCTCAAATTCCCCCTGGTTTTTCCATGACTGCATCATCAAAACACTTAAAAACAAAATTATTCAACCTCAGACGTTAAATAAAAAGAAATATAACTCTTGTGGTTAATTTTTTGTTTAATGACCCGACTGTCCTTTTAAAAGTTTTTTTTTGTCAAAATTTTCACAATTAGGTGCAAATAGGCAATGAATGTCATCAATAAAGAGGTGTGAATTCCTGTTTTGAACAAATTTGCAAAAATCATACTCGGCGAGTTTCAAGGCCCGTCTGAAGCCCCGTACATCAGGTTCTCCGTCAAGGATAACGCACACAAAGTATAAATAAAGGATTATTTACAATAAATATCCTCAGTTTCGGTCATAGCGCATGATATAAAAATGTCCAAGTATGTGCTAGTGGTCATATTTTTCTCAATATCATTAAGTGAATGTATGCGCAAAAATGTTTGCAAAACGATCGAGGATTACAGGACAATCGAGCACAATTCGAATTGTTGGTATAATCCTGACGTCGGAGCCAGTCCGGTGTGTGCGAATAATATTTACATTAAATTTATTAATCTGACCGAAAAATCAATATTAGGCTGAAATTATCAAAGGACACGGTTATCCTTTTGAAAGTTATGAAGTTGTGACAAAGGATGGCTACATTGTCACGTTATTTCGGGTGCCTCATAACGGGACGAAAAAACCGGTGGTTTTTTTACAACACGGATTGGCTGTTGACTCTTCCTGCTATCTCTATTTGGGGGCAAAATCCAGCGGTATGTAAATTGAGTGGAGAAAGTAGGTTAAAATATTATAGAAATAATAATAATTATCTTATTATCAATCAATTTGTCATGTCATCTTCCCTTGGCACTCTTACCTTGACATTTTCAGTTTTTGTTTTCGCGAATAATGGATATGATGTCTGGTTGTCCAACAGTAGAGGTACCAAATACTCGCCAAAACACACCAAATACACGGTTTACGACCCCGAATACTGGAATTTCAGGTACAAATCACAAATCTTGGACATAACTGAAACCAAATTTCAGTTTTCATGAAATGGCACTTTATGACCTTCCAGCCATGTTGGAATTTATTGTTGAAATGACGGGCCAAACCGGCCATATCCACTACATCGGCCATTCGATGGGTACCACAATCTCCTACATTTATGCCTCACTTATGCCACAACATGCCAAAATGACCTTAAGGTCAATTGTGTCCCTAGCACCGATTGCCTTTTTGGACAACATTTCGCCACTTGTCAGAGCTGTAGTGCCGTTTCGCTACTTAATTGCGGTAAAATTATTTAGTAATCAGTAAGGCTCGGATTATATGCACAAAAAATTCGTAAAATATACTCCAATATATGCCAAATTTGCATCGATATGCAAAATTTTTAACAATAAAAAATCAAAGTTGGGATAAATTTTTATCCTCGAATACACTAAACTTTGTATTTTCGTCATCTTGAACTGCACACAATAAATTAAAAAATAAATAAATTGGTTTGGCGTGAGACAAGCCATTTTAATAACCTAGTAATTAACCCTTTCTAAAAAATCTGTACTTTTCAGATCACATCACGTTTTTTGCTTAAAGTATTTATTTTTTGAAAAAACTAATTGATGAATTATAAAGTTCTATAGAAATGTGATGTTTTATCAAAAATAAAATTTTTCAAAATTTTAATTTTTTTGTTTTTGAGTTCTACAAAAATATTTATTTTTTTAAATGGCAACCCACCAAAAAAAACATTTTTCTCATGAAGGTCAAGATCTAAGGGATTACAACTATCTACTTTATATTAAATTACTTTTTTACATATGTATATCGCAATTTAGACAACAAAAATCGAATAACTCAAAAACAAAACAAAATTTTGTTCTTAAAAAATATTTTTTTTATATTACTTTAATTTATATTAATTATTACTTTTTGGAAACAAATGATTTAAAAAAAACCGCTTACACCAGTATAAAACCAATTTAAAGAGAAAACTCTCAGCAGGGAACTATTTTTTTGAGTTTGGCTTACGAATTCCCGGTTGTTTTCTCTTTAAAATATTTTGTAATCGGATTACTTTTCTTAAACTGTCCAATTTTTAACTTGAACTGAAATCTTTAATCGGAAATTAGTGATTTGAAGAAAATATGCACAAATATGCAATATTTCCTAAAATATGCACCAAGTTGCCAAAATATGCAAAATATGCATT